TGAGGGTAAGTAAAAAAGTACTGCTACTAGTGTTTTCATTCATACATGTATAGGTTTATTCAAAACAAAACATGCTCAAACATGTTTCTGCAATGAGCAGATGGCTACAGAGAAGTTCTCAAAGTAATATACTTGTCTTAGCCTCTTTAGGTTGCATTAAAAAAAAAAAAAAAGATAAAACACTGATTTCTGACTCCTTCCAAGACTGAAACTCAAAGGGAACACATGAGCAGGCATGTACGCTTGCTGGCGACCACGTTGGTCTCTGGGTGAGTGGAAGAGGGGTAAAAGCAGCAATGAAGAAATGGGCTGAGTTCAACCACATTCCATAGATTCCCACTGACCTGGAGATGAGGGCAAGAAGAGGAAGGGCTGGTTGGTCCAAAAGGTGGTGAGACCTGGGGACTCCTGAGCCCATGGACAAGGACATAGCCACGGAAGGCTAGAGCTGAGAGTGAAGCATCCAGCTGATATGAAGTGTGGGGAGACACACAAGAATGCCCAAACTTGTACGTAGTACCCATTTGACCTAGCCTTGAAGGCTTGATAATTAGAACTTGACTAGAGGAAGATTAAAAAAAAAACCAAAAACAATTTTTGATAAAGGAAATTAATGTGAATTGCTACAATTTGATGAACTTGACCTACAGTCACAGATGTAATAGCTCAAGATACCAACCAAGAGGGAAGGAGTCTTCATATCAAATATCAATCTTATTCCCCTCTGTATACAGGGTAGATAGGGACGGGCAATTTAGACATTGGCTACCTAAAATGAGGGGGCGACCAAGGCACAAAGTGACTGGCTTACCAGTTTTCAAAAGGGAGTTTAGTTTAAGAGTGTGCAGGGAAGGTAAAGTCCCCATTGAATAGTTTCATCTTGTCTAGACAGGTCTGATGAAAAGAGATGGGGATAAGATTCTTATGATTCAATAGTGAGCAAATGTTATCATGACTAATTGTGATTGTTACAACTGTAAAGGTAGAAGTTATGTAACAACAACGGGGGGAGTAGTTAATCTTACAGTCCAGAAACAGAGGACCCTAGGACCATCAAGGGGAAAGAGCACAAGTGGAATGTGGGACCCTGTCCAGATAATCAGTAACATCAGAGATGGAGGCAGATGTGAGGACTCTGGACTCATGGAAAGAGAGGGAATGGGTGCTGGAAGCCAGAAGATAGGCTTGCAGAATGTGCCCTTTGGTTGTTTAAATTATTACATATTCCTGAGTGTTTTTGTGTACATCCCTGCTGCGGTCCCCTCCCCCCCCAAAACAACAACAACAACAACAGAGGGCACGGAAGCAAATCCTGTTGAATGATGATGCTTGGAGGAGACTGTAATCTTTGCAGTGAAATGATGGTGTAAAGCCAATGTTCTCCCATGTAAACTATCAGTCAGTTCACAATAAAAACTTCAAAAAAACAAAAACAGTGGTTTCTGAGATTTGCTAGGTCAGTTAAATTCAAGTCAGAGAGGTCAGCTCAGAAAGTTACAGCACCTTTTTTTTTTTTTTAATGTTTTATTGTGAATTATGTGATAGTTTACATGGGAGAACATTAGCTTTACATTCATCCTATCATACATCATTTCACTGCCATGGTTACGATCCCCTCCATGCATTATCAAACAACTAAAAGGTATACCCTGCAAGCCTGTCCCCCAGTAGTCATCACACAGCCCCTCTCCCTCTCTGGGTCTAGAGTCCCCAACCGCTCCATCTCTTTACATCATCGTCTCTGCCTCTACCTCTGGAGTCACTGTTTCTTTGGGTATGGTCCCACAGTCTGCTCTTTTCCCTTGATGGTCCCAGGGACCTCTGCTCCTGGACTGCAAGGTCAATCATTCCCCTCCTTTTGCTACAAAACATCTACCTTTATATTTCCAACCCTCACAGTCAGTCCTGATAACAATTATTCACTATTGTACCACAAGAGACCTATCCCCATCAGCCCTGCCCAGACAGATTAGATACTACTCAGTGGAGATTCTACCTTCCTCCCTGCCCTCTGGATCTAAGCTCCTCTTGAAAGCTTGTAAGCCAGTCACTTCTTGCCTTTACAGTCCCCCCCATTTTGGGTAGCCAATATCCAAGTTGCCCATCCCTGTCTAATCTGTGTATGGAGGGCGTGGGAATGATCCTCATCACAGCAACTTTTTTGAAGAATTCCAAAGGAGTACTCTTGGTAGATTTTTTCAAAGGACATGGGGCAATCATTTGTTGTTGTTATGTGCTGTGGAGTTGGTTCCGACTCATAGAGACCCTTGTACCGGGTTTCTGAGGCTGTAAATCTTTACGGGAGCAGAAAGCCTCATCTTTCTCCTGTGAAACAGCTGGTAGTTTCGAACTGCTGACCTTGCAGCTCACAGCCCGATTCATAACCACGACATATGGACTCATTATGAAGAAGTCTTAAGTGAAAACAGAATTGATTAGAAAAAAGTCACAAGAGTTGCACAATAAATGATTTCCCATCCCAACAATGTGCCTACTTTTTCTTCCAGGGTAACAAGGGCAGTCCTACCTACAGGAATTTTGTTGGGAAACCTTACCCATAAACACTACAGCCCTGAAAATGTTTACATGTTTATTCCTAAAACTCAAAGAAAATTTAAAAGAACACAGTTTGAATCCCTTGAAGATGACAAATGCCATTTTGAGGTGGTGTAAATCAAAGGCAGCAGAATTCTTCAGGGAAGGGTTAGAATTGGAGACACCAATTTCAGAAGTATAGCTCTTGATAGAAGGAAGACATGTTGAGAAACAATAGCTTTACATTTTAAAAAATTTCAATTAATAAAAATTTCTATGACTTTGTAGCAATACTTTTTTACTTACTCTCATATGAATAAAATATTCAAATAAGGAATAACATGAAAGGCTGATAAACCTGAATGTTTGAAATCTATACTAGAGGAAAAAATCTTTTCTTCAAGAAAGATTTTTAATAGTATGACAGCTAGTACAATGTGGTGTTGTTAGTGGTGGCTGTGTGCTGTTGAGTCGGTTCTGACTCATAGTGACCATGTAAGTTGTTCTGTTTGTAGAGTGCAATCAAGTGAGTTCTGACTCACAGCAACTCTGTATAGGGTTTCCAAAGAGTGGCTGGTGGGTTTGAACTACTGACCGGGTGGTTCACAGATGACTGCTGATCCTACAGCACCACACCATGAGACTGGCCATGTATGGGGCTCCTTTCTCTAGGAGTAGAAAGCCTCCTCTTTTTCCCGCAGAGCATCTAGTGAACTTGAACCACTGACCTTGCAGTTAGCAGCCCAACCCATAGCTTATTTTACAGGTTGTTGTTGCGACCTTGAACCGCCAACCTTGCAAAAAGTCGTAAAATTACTGTATTCCTGGGAAAGATATTATCATACTTAGTAAGTCTTTCCATATGTTATCATTTACCTTATATTGAGGACAAATAGGAAATATTTCTGACGAAAAGTTAAAATATTTAGCATAGTTTTATTTTTTACTTGCTTTGACTCTGTGGGTTAATGTGGCTGACTGCAAAGTTGGTTTGAACAACAAGGTCGGGAGTTTAAGCTCACCAGCCACTCCTTGAAAACCCTATGCAGGGTCACTATGGGTTGGAACCAACTCAATGACACTTAATGACAACAGCTACAACAATATGATTTTAGGAGTCCTGGTGTGGCATCATAAGATAAAAGCACTGAACCTCAAGGTCAGTTTGAACCACAAGGTCAGTGGTTTGAACTCACCATCCACTCCTCAGAAACCCCATACAGGGTCTCCATGAGTTGGAACTGAATCAATGGCACTTAACAACAACATGAATTTAGCCATATGTATTTGAACTTTCTCTATGTACCCATTTTCATGTGATTTAGATGCTCTGCCGTTGTTATTTTTGTTAAGTTCTATTTAGTCTGTTCTGACTCATAGCGACCCTATACAGGGTTTCCAGGGAACAATGGGTAGGTTTGAACCACCAACCTTATAGTTTGCACTCCAGTACTGATCCTACAACACCATACCAGGAGTCCTAGCTGTTCTTTTATGAAGTTCATTAATCTGGAAATTATGTTTATGATTGTCATGTTACATTATTAGGCTTTAAAACAGAAGTAATACTGGTAAGGTAACTTGTCAACAGTCTAGGAAATGCCTTCTTCGAAAATGTAAGAGCTCAAAGTTTTTAATATTCCATTAAAAATTAAGATTTGGGATGTAAAGGATCTAAATCTCTTTCCTGTAGCAGTTTCTGGACCCTCTGGTCAATAACATTCCTCATGTATTAGTAAACTTAACTTCATTAAAGTTGTTGATTTAGAAATATTCAAATCCTGCAACTAATTCGTTAGGTTAAACCAAATTTGATAGGCAAATTCATATGTTCTGAAATAATTATTTGGATTGAAGCTCATCACCCCATCTAGTTCTAATGACCCCAAACTTAATGCCCATTCTTTAAGGTACAGCCAGAAAACTGATGTCCCGACACCCTCCTACCCCACCAAAATACCTATTTCATTTCAATTAAATATGCTGAGATTTCCTCTGGATAAGGCATTGATGAGGCTTCTACATTCGTTACTGATATTTTACTTCTAAGAAATGAAGTTACAGATTGCAAGTGGTTTTCAATGACACAACTCCCTAGGAAAAGTATCCCTATGGCTGCACTATTTAAACTGTAAAGGACAGTGAGGTCATAAAGGGCAGCAAGGGTAGCTACACACACTCCCTCTACTGGCAGCAGTTTTCAAAGGGAAAGGCATCCTGAACACAGCCATCTAAAAGACACATGCAAATGGCTTTTGTGCATATGCACAGAAACATTTGTTACTATTGCCATTTCAGAAACATGATAAATACCAAAAGAATCTGAGTAGACAAAGACCAATCTATTTCCATTATATTTACAAATAGTCATTTCAAAAACCTCACAATTTGAAATAATAATGATTTTCGATACAACTTAAGTGGCAGCATTGGCTGTAAAGATCAGGTTATATTTTCCTACTTACTTCTAAAGATTCTTTCAAGTCTACAACAGAAACTGTATCTTCCTCTTCATCATCAGTTAACTGGTCCTGGGAACAGTAGTGAGTGCTATATGCAGAGTGTTCTTCTATTGCTTCTAGCCAATCCTGGAACAACCCAAAGGTTTCAGTAAAAATGGGGGAGCATAATTACCCTAAGGTATAATATGACAAAGATCTGGACAGAATTAAAATACACATAAATAAATAAACAGTACAGCCTCCTGGAGAAACAAAAACAAAACAGCAATGAGCAATGCAATCTTGCCAATAAAAGATGTCTAAATAAAAAAAAAAAATTCTAAGATTTAAAAAATATCAGGTATAGGTTTCCATTATCATTAATATTAATACTCGCATGTTTTACGGGAATGAATACATAGGAATGCTGTACTTTAATATTACAGGCACATATTAGTAAGTAGCTTATTTATCAGCTAAGTTTTAGAAACTTCATGTAATTGTACCATTAAAAGGTAGGATCAGCAAGATTTTAGGTGTTTATTTTAAACCTACCATATAGTCTTCAGTTTTAAAATTTTATTTTACTTGAATCCATAAAATGACCTCTTTTGAATGTTGAATAAGTTACTATAAAATAATCAATCCAGATATATAATGTAACCAACTTACAATAATCAAATTATAAACCTAAGAAACTAAAATCTTTTTAACATCATCAACAATTACCATGGGTTCTAACTTTTACTTAACAAAAATAAAAAAATAGTGATTTCCCAATAAAGAAGCTGAGACTGTCTGGCCCACATATGCATGTCTCACTTCCTCATTTTCTTACAGTATTACTCAGGGTCACATACCACGTCCTGAAATGATAACACAGCAAGAATTAGGAATTCAATTGTTTGGGGCTCTTTGCAGGCCAAAAGTAGCCACTGGAGATGGTAGCCCTTTTTTTTTTTTAAATCTCTTACATGATTTACAAAAGAGAAACAAGAAAAAAGATTTGTCTGGATACTAGTTTGACTGAAATGAATGTGACTCTTCCATTAAATGGCTGAAACATGATTTTTCTATCAAGCGAATGCCAATTTTCTTGCTTACTCCTATTGTTCAGTTTATCCAAGGAAGGCAGATTCTATACTGCAATGAACATCAGAACAACTGGGTTGTGATCCAGGTTCTGCTACTTGCAAGGTGTACGACTTTGGGAGAATTACTTCAATGCTAGTCTTCAGTTCCATAAACTTAGGCATTTTTTCCAACACCTGTCACTGTCTCTTAATAGCAGAGAATCAAAATGAAAACAAAATTATAAACATTAAATACCTGCAGGTACATGTTAATAAGCAGCATATTCATTAGCCAAGTTTTTAAAACTTCATATAATTACACCATTAAAAAGGTCTGATCAGCAAGATTTTAGATGTTACTATGAAACCCATCTCATAGTCTTCAGTTTTGAAAGTTTATGAAAGATAAATGAATCCATACAATTACCTCTCTTGACTGTTGAAGGCTGTTCTTAGGAACTCTGAAGCCATGAATAGTGTCATCAAAGCATTTAACAAAGAAGAGGCAGCTGTCAGTGGATTTTACCTTGGATATAAAGAAATCAGTAAAACAGCAACATTTACTCCCATGTAACAGCACCCTAAAAGTATCTGTACATCAAACTAAACATACTGACAGTGATCCACAAACAACTTTTAAAGATTGAGAAAAATTGGAAAACAAAACAAAACAAAACAATTTACAATTGGGGCATCAAATGTATCGGAGCTTATCTATGTCAAATCTGACTTTCACATTCTTAATACCTAAAGTAATGCTGAAGGTCCCCTGGGCAGATAGCTGTAGTTTCACCCTTTCTATTAAATGTAACTTATTATAAGCACTTAGGAGTCCTAGGGTGGCACCATAGGATAAGCACTTGACCTCAAGGTTGGTTTGAACTGCAAGGTCAGTGGTTCAAACTCACCAATGGCTCTTTGGAAACCCTACATAGAGTCGTTTCAACTCAACAGCACTTAACAAAAACAACATGTGCACGTTGGCTACAAAGTTCTATAAAACCACAGCCCCAATTTCTTATTTATATACCACACTCCTGAATCTTTTGCTTTGAGTGCAGAAAATGTTTGAGCTGAGTATGGAAGAATGAGTAGTAAATAGAGTCAATAAAAGATAAAAAGAAGGACGGATAAGAAAAATCTAGAAATAATAATCTTTTAAAAAAATAAATTTGGCAAGACAAGAACTTGAGAGTGCAAAAGGACAAACTGGATTACAACCCAGCTGTTCTGATGTTCACTGCAGTATTTAAGATCCTATCCAAGGGCCCCTTGCAGAACACAACTCTGAAACCTAGACAAAAAGCATAAATGCATCTGCCAAAAACAACTGGAGAGTGAACAGAAATTGAGACTCTGAAGAGGAATATGCCCTCTTGTGGAAAAAAAAAAAAAATTAAGAGTCACACAAGTAAGTTCCCTCATACCCTGGGGTTAAGTACACATACAACAGCAGTCAGGGTACATGGAAAAGTCTTTGTGTCTTTGGGGAATTAGAAAATGGAATCTGGGAAATAATGGACACTTAAGAGAGTAAAGGAATCCCACAAATGAAAGAATCAGAGAGGGGATTCCCAAACTCAGAGCTCTAGCTGACTCATGAATCAAACATACATAGAAAAGACTCAACACAGCTCATATAAACACAACATTTCTGAACTCAGACCAGAGCTATGGGCTAAGAAACAGAGTCTGCAATGCCAGCTCAAGCAAGACCATGATTGGCTAAGACAAAGGAAGTAACATTTATCAGAGAGAAAGAATCCAGAAACTTTAAAAGTCAAAATTCATAGTAATTAAGGATATAATCCAAAATTACCTGATATACAAAGAAGCAAGAAAGTGAAGATCATTCTGAAAAGAAAAAAAAAATTTCAAAGTCAAAAACGGTTAGAGCAGATAGAGACTGAACTATATGCTGTCTATGTTGTAGTTGTTAAGTGCCATCTAGTCAGTTTCAATTCATAAATTTTTGACTCATAGTGACCCTGTATAGAATTACCAAGGAGCAGCTAGTGAATTTGAACCACCAACCTTGCAATTCAACCCGACAATTTGGTCCAGTGCTTATCCTATGGCACCATACCAGAACACCATATGCTGCCCATAAGAGACAGATAATAAATACAAGATCCAGATACGCTGAAAGAAAATGTATAGAAAAGAGACCCATGCAAACAGTAAACATAAGAAAGTGAGAGTGGTTATATTAATACCATACAAAATAGATTTCAAAACAAAATGCATTGTAAGAAACAAAGAGGGGTTACATCAGTTAACCAGGTCAGCTATCAGGAAAACAACAATCATAAATATGCATATGATCAATAACAGTGAGAAATAAACAATCTCACAAGCATAAAGATGGCCGAAGAATTACTGACTTAAAAATAGATAAATCAGAAGAACAGAAAGAGAAAAGACTGAAGAAAAATGAACAGAGCCTTAGAGACCTGTAAAATATTTTTATGTGCACAAACATAAAATAATAAAAGACCCAGGAGAACAGGCAAACAGTCTGAAGAAAGAGATTATGAAATAATGGTGAAAACTTGCCAAATCGGATGAAAACATTCATTTCTACATTCAAAAAAATTCTATAAACTCCGAGTAGGTGTGGTGCTATGGGTTAACACACTGGACTGCAAAGTCAGTTTGAACTGCAAAGTCAGCTGTTCAAACTCACCAGGTGCCCCTCAGAAACCCTATGCAGGGTCAGAACCCACTCAATGGCTAAGAGTCAGAACTGAATCCATAGCACTTAACAACAATAACAACAAGAATAAACCCAGGGCCATTCACACATCCCAGTCATGCTTTTGAAAGACTAAAGAGAACAACAAAGAAATCTTGAAAAGCAGCAAAAGAAAATCAACTCAGCAGGTAGAGGGGAAGCACAGTATAATTAACAGTTGACTTTGCACCAGAAACAGTGGAGACCAATGGCAGGAGGATGACATATTCAAAGTGCTGAAGAACAACAAACATTATTGTTCTTAAATGAAAGAACACTTAAGAACAGTGAAAACAAACAAAAACAAACATTATAGTTCTTACATGAAAACAAAATAAAGATGCTCCCACATAAACAAAGCCATAGACAATTTGTTGCTAGCAGGCACATCTTACAAAAAGAGTACAGAGGGCTCTTAGATAACAAGAAAGCGACAACAGACCATAAATAAAAGAGAACTGGTAAAGGCATTAACATAGGTGATTACAGAATATGGCATAAAAATATTTTTCACTTTTCTTCTTTTCACTGATTTAAAAATAACTACATAGCACAATAATTATAAAATTATGCACCAGAGCTTATCACATATAAATACGCAATGTGGTGGTGGTGGTGGTAGTGGTTGTGTGCTGATGAGTAGCTCCAACTCAAAGTGACTCTACACAGAGTCTACACAGACTCTATACAAGGTTTCCGAGGCTATAAATCTGTTGTTGTTGTTGTTATGTGCCGTGGAGTTGGTTCCGATTCCCAGTGACCCTGTACAGGGTTTCAGAGGCTGTAAATCTTTACAGGAGCAGGAAGCCTCATCTTTCTCCTGCGGAACAGCTGATAGTTTCGAACTGCTAACCTTGTAGTTCACAGCCTGATTCATAACCATTACGCTATCAGAGCTCCTTTATAAATCATTACAGGAGCAGAAAAAGCCTCATCTTTTTCCCACAGAGCACTTGGTGGAGGGGAACTGCTAACCTTGTGGTTAGCGGCTTATGACATAACCCACTATACACTTTAAATGGATGAATTATATGGTGTGTGAATCAGTATCTTAAAAAAAAGTTGGCAAAAACAAACAAAAAATATACACAACATTGTATAAAGAAATACAGCACTGTATTGTTGGATTTTTAAGCATGCATAGTAAAGATATATATGACAGTAACACCACAAAGGGAGGATTAGGAAATGACGCTAACTTAAAGCAACGGTTCCAACTTTTATGGAATTAAATTAGTATTAATCAGAAGTTGTTGTTAAGTATCATCGAGTTGGTTCTGAAGCATAACGACCTTGTATAGGGTTCCCAAGGAGTAGCTGATTTGTTTGAACCACCAATCCTAGGGTTAGCAGTCCAGTGTTTATTCTACAGTGCCACAGCAGGACTCCATAAATCACAAGTAGACTGTTATAAATAAGACAGATTTTAAAATATGCAGAGCAAACACTAAGATAACTAAAACATATCATAAAATAATTAACATTAGAAAAAATACCTATTGAATTCAAAACAAGGAAGACAAGAAAAAAGAGTGAAAAAGCATGAACAGAAACAAAAGCAAATGACAAAGAGAAATCCAACCACATAATAATAACATTACATATTTGGTTGTTGTTAAGTGCCGTCAAGTCGATTCCAACCCATAGCGACCCTGTATAAGAGTTTCCAAGGAGCAGCTAGTGAGCTTGAACCAACGACCTTGCAGTTCAAATGACTTTGAAGTCTGGCACATTAGCCCACAGCGCCATACCAGGACTCCAAATAAACACAATTTAACAAGGCAAAGAATATCAGACTGGATAAAAATACTGATTATAATTGTAAGCTGTCTCCAAGAAACACGTCAGGTTCAAAACAGGTTGAAAGTAAAAGAACGAAAAAAAAAAAATCTATACAGTGCAAACAATATCCATATGAGTAAAAAAATAAAAATGTTATTGGGGATAAAGAGGGACATTTGCTAATGAGAGAAGTGGTCAATCTTAAGGAACACATAACAATTATAAACAATATTCAGGCAACAACAGAGCCCCCAAAATGCATGCAGCAAAAGCTGATAGAACTGAAGTGAGAAATAAAACAGCTAGACAATAAAATCAGCAAGGATATAGAGGATAGCTAAACAACACTCAACAACAAAAAGATGTATGTTCTTGGAAAAGGACTGAAATCATATAAAGTATGTTCTCCAACCAAAAAGAAAGATTATAAATCAACAACAGAAGGAAATGTGCCAAACATAAAATCATTTGGAAATAAAAAAACAAACTTCTAAACTCACAGAAAAGAAGAAACCAAAAGAGAAACTAGAAAATATTTTGGACTGAAAGAAAATAAAAACACAACATATAAAACTTTATAAGAAGCAGTGCTTTTAGATAAATTTATACACCTATAACAGAAAAGAAAAAAAAAAAAGACACAAAACACCTCAAATCAATATCCTAACCTTCTGCCTTAAAACCAATAAAACAACTAGAAAATGAACAGGGCCTGCCTTACAGTAGTCACTCAATGAATGCCCATTAGCTTGTATTGATATGTGATTCCTAAGTGTAGGCCTCAAGCAGACAAACAAGAAAGTATAAGCTGCAAACAAGGTCAAGCATAACACAGCAGGAATTAATTAACTCCAGAGAAGCACAGGCCAAAACAGTTTTTAAAAAGAAGAGGAGGGAAAATTTATTTATTATTTTAAGAAAAATGTGTAAGATAAATCCTTCAACTGGAAGTTTTAAACATGTGTGTGTGTGTGTGTGTGTGTGTGTGTGAGAGAGAGAGAGAGAGAGAGAAACATATATATAAAACAAAAATTAGCACCAAGGATGGGGCTGGAAATGGAGCTATCTCAGAGCAGTTTCCTTATTATATAGCACTGAGTTAAAATTAGTCTTTGTTGTTGTTAAGTGCTGTCCAGTTGCTTCCTACTCATAACGACACTGTGTAGGGTTTCCAAGGAGTAGCTGATGAGTTTGAACTGCCAACCTTGCAGTCCAGTGCTTATCCTACAGTGCCACATCAGGATGCTAGAATTAGTATATAGTAGATGAATAAAAGGAGTTCTGGTGTGGCGCTGTGGGCTAATGCATCAGACTGCAAAGTTGTTTGAACTGCAAAGTCAGTGGTTCAAGATCACCAGCTGCTCCTTGGAAACTCTATACAGGGTCGCTATGGGTCGGAATCGACTCGACGGCACTCAACAACAACAACAACAGATGAATAAAGGCCTAAAATAGTAAAGATGGCATCCAACCAAAGTAACTGAGAAATTAGATGGGATTAGAGACAGCTTCCTGGACTTTCTGGTCTGATGTGAAAAATGTGTACAGAGAGTTGTTGTTAAGTACTGTCGAGTTGATTCTGACCATAGCGACCCTCTATAGGGTTTCCAAGGAGCAGTTGGTGAGCTTGAGCCACTGACCTTGCAGTTCCAACAACCTTGCAGTCTGGCGCATTAACTCACATGAAAGTCTCCAACCTTGTGTGAGCAGGTTGTACTACTGGGGTCTGAAACTATGCTTGGGGCTCTCCAAGGGGAATAGCGGTTGTTCTCTGAGAATCTTCACACTGAGAAAGGCGAATGTACTCTTGGAGTAGATTTGTTGCTATGGGATGTTGACTCCCTAAAAGACTTGAAGCAAGAAACAAAAGGCCCTAGTCTTAGACCAATTTCTATAGAAGAAAAACTCACATATTCTGACTTATAATGAATACAGAGAATTTAAGAATCTTGATTTTGCCACAGATTTCACATTCTATTTTAAGCTTAGAAAAGAGGTACCCATGTTCAAATACACACATATATGTTGTTGCTGTTGTTAAATGCTGCCAAGTCAGTTTCAATTCATAGCGACCCCATATAGGGTTTCCAAAGAATGGCTGGTGGGTTTGTACTACCGACCTTTTGGCTAGCAGTCCAGTTCTTATCCTACAGCATCATATCAGGCTTCTACACATATGTGTAAGCGTATACACTTATATACCTAAACACATACATCATACATATATACACACATACATATCTATACACATTTATATTGTTGTTGTTAAGTGCTATAAAGTCAGTTCTGACTCATAGTGACCATATACAGCGTTTACAAGGAGTGGCTGTTGAGTTTGAACCACCAACGCTGTGCCTCAAACTGACCTTGTGGTCTAGTGCTTATCCGACATCACCATGCCAGAACTCCACACATATATACATACTCATATAAGTACACATACATGTGAAATATTAAAAACCTCTCTCTATATATAAATGTGTTTGGATCATCCATTTCTCATTCCACGATATGATGACTGCATTTTTAAATTCTTTCCAAATGGAGATTTCACTAGTTTATTTGTTCTCAATTCTGACAAAGAAATAGACCAAATGATTTCTTGTGTATGTAGAATCTCACAGAATCCCAAGATGTCACAAAGCAGCTTCTAAAGAGACATGGGGCAAGCACTTGCAGAACTGATTTCACAGGTCGAGCAAAAGGTACTCCTCTCTTCCTACCGTGCATACTGCTTGGGTCAGGTGTTTGCATCCCTGGCGATAAATACGCTGCACTGCATCAGGCCTTAAAAAGAAATACAACATTATCAAGCCAAAAGGAAAAGAGAGAAAGCGGAAAGCTTTAATGTTTCAAAAGTCAGATACTGAGATTTAATTTTTATGAAGATCATAATACTTACTGTTTCCTATACCATGAAAGGACTCCATGTTCTAATACTACCCAGAATAATCTCCAGCCAAAGAATCTTGAGCTCTAATGGACAAAAGACAAAGCATTTCTCAAGCTGACACTTTGAGGTTCAAATACACGACTGACAAAAAGTAATTTAGTGATGAGAGCTTTATGTAAGTCTTTCATCTGGTCAGTGTTGCTGAACATTAAAGAACAATCAAACACGAGCTTAGCTACTAGATGTCTCAATGAAAGTATATTTCTATAGGATGGATGATGGGAAAAGAAGATCAGCCATGCTGATGAAGCCCAATGATGCAAACAGTTTATAATTCCCAAAGTACTGTCCAGGTGTATTTGTAAGAAATATACTGCTTGTGGCCTCAGAGACAATTTCCTCAAAGTTAAGAAAGAGCTTCTATTAAAAAATGTACCCTAAAGTTACTTTATGCAAAGTAAATACACATATACATACACATGTAGAAGGAGGACTTGCCAATACAAAATAACTGAACGACATATTCTAGAAAATAACTATCAAAGTCACAGCATTTGTATGTGTGCTTTCACATGCTCTGTGACAATTCAAATATTAATTTCTTTACAGGTCCTACATAGGTTAATATTTTAAAATCTGACGTCACCAAGTCGGTTCTGACTCATTACGACCCTATGAATTAGAAAGTGGACCTGCTCCGTAGGTTACTGGCTGTAATCTTTACAGAAGCAGTTTTTCAGGTCTTCCTCCAATGAAGCTGCTGGATGGATCTGGACTGCTAACCTTTAGGATAATCACAAACTGCTTCCATCACCAGGCTCAACGTTGATAATGAAATAATACTGTCGTTCTACAGCTAAATGGGGTGAAACATGTATTTTGACCCCACTTTGGGCCATACAAGCTAGGTCACCTAAAAATATTAGAGCATCCATAGAAATAAAGCAACTGTTACAAACAGATGTAGCCTACTGCATTCCAGCACTATAAAAAAGGCTTCTAAGCTCTATGAATGATGAAATTACATATATTTCAGAAATGATTGAAAAGATGAAACATTTCTTAAAAGAAAACAACTGAGCACCAGAGAATTCTTCTTTCTAGTTTTAGAATTTAAATAGAAATCCAAACTTACCTTCCAGAGAGGGCCTTCATATTGTTTCAATGATTTGTAGATGACCTATTAAAATCATTTTTCCATTAAAAAATGTACCTTTAGTTCAAAGTTGTTTTTCTAAAAATTATCATATACTTTTAAATATATTGCTACATACCTTATTGCCAACAAGTACATGTTTCATTTCAGCACCTTGGGCAAGGTCAACAGGTTTCTGATCTGTATACAGTAAATAGAGAAAAGCAGTCAAGATACTGATACTACTATTGCATTACATGAGATTTATTCATTCATTCATCAACGACACCCTTTTCTTCTCCTCCAGAATTGCCATCTCACTTATTTCTGGCCTTCATTTTGGTAGCTAAGAACACTCAGTACAGGTTCTATAATTGCACACTGTGTATTTCCTGTGACTACTGTAACAAATTGCCACAAACTTGGTGGTTGAAAACCATATGAACTTATCATCTTGCAGCTCAGCAGGCCAGAAGTCTGAAATCCATTTCGCTGGGCTGATATCATGGAGCCGGCAAGCCCAGGCTTCTGCTGGAGGCTGCAAGGGTCTTTTAGAGTCATCTGCATTCACTGACTTGGGGTGCCTTTCTTCCATCTTCAGAGCCATCATTTCAATTTCTGCTTCCATTCTTTCAGCTTCTCTCTATATTTTGATCCTCCTAACTTCTCTTTGGAGTCCTGGTGTGGCGCTGTGGGTTAATGTGCCAGATTGCAAAGCCATTTGAACTGCAAGGTTGGCAGTTCAAGCTCACTAGCTACTCCTTAGAAACCCTATACAGGGTCACTATGAGTCGGAACCGACTCAACAGCACTTCACAACAACAACAACACCTTCTCTTAAGGAGATCTGGTGTTGTGGTGGGTTACCTGTTGGACTGCTAACTTCAGCAGTTTGGATCCACCAGATGCTCCATGGAAGAAAGATGTTTTGCGCCTATAAAAATTTACAGCCTCGGAGATCCTCTACAGCGTGACCATGAGCCAGCGCCGACTCTACGGCCCACAGAAGCAGCAACAGCCTTCCTCTTATGAGGAACTTTGTGATAACACTGTTGTAAAGTGCTGTCGAGTCAGTGCTGACTCATAGAGACCCTTAATATTAATAGGGTTTCCAAGGAGCAACTGGTGGGGTTTGAACCACTGACCTTGTGGTTCCCAGTCTAGTGTTGATCCTACAGCGGCACACCAGAAGTCCTGTGGTAACATTAGGTTCATCTATTTAATTCAATATTATCTCCCATCTCAAGACCAGTAATTTAACTACATCTTTGGAGGCCATTATTCAGTCTGTCAGGGAGCCCTAGAGGTATAATAATTACGCATTCAGCTGTTTACCAAAAGGTCATGGGAGAAAAGACATGATGATCTGCTTCTGTAAAGACAATTGTTTTGTGTCCTATTGAGTCCATTGTGACTCAAAGCAAACCTATGAGGACCATGTAGAATGGTCCCATCAGGTTCCCTAGGCTGTAACCTTTAGGGGAGTATGTTGCCAGGTCTTTCTCTCAAGGAATGGCTGGTGAGTTCAAACTGTTGACCTTTCAGTTAGTAGCCAAACACTGTGGAACCAAGGTTCCTTCTGTGAGGACTAGGAAACCCTCTGAGGCATGTCTACTCTGTAGATCGGGTCGCTATGAGTCCAAATCGACTTCATGGCAAATCGACTTGATGGGGTGCCACAACATCATTCAGTCTACCACACCGTTTTTCAGCTACTGTGTAGAGAAACATGTGGTAAGAGAGCTCAGAAGCGAATGGTGTGATGGTCCACAATTGAAGACAAAAAGAAAAAGTGAGAGCAGATAATGAAACCTTACAAGTGCAAGTACTCTACGTTTGGTCAAATAACAAAAACAAAAAAGCTAGAATTCATTTTATCACAGTTATTGATGGAGATACAAAGTGAGCATAACATCATAAGAAGGATGCAAGCTACAAAAAAAAAAGAGAGAGAGAAAGAGTCATTCCTTAACCTCAGGTGGCACTTTCTAGTAGCAAGAGAAACAAAAGTTATACATTAAAAAAAAATCTTCAAAATAACATATCAAGTTGAAACTCTGAAGTAAGGTAAAATAATCTATTAAATAAGCTTCTTATAAATATCAAACGCTTTCAATGTACTGGGTAATTTTTGCTTAAGTATCTCCTATTATAGGTGCAAATGACTCTTTTGAGCTCTGGCATTCAGAAAAACAAATTGGACAGTGAAGACAGACATAGAAGGAGGGAGACACAGACAATAAATTAGTGACAACAACAACAAAACGATACCAAATTATCAGCACACTCTGCAGAGATTTTTAGATTAACGATCTGCTCGAGAATGACGGCACACTGGTGTGGTGCTGCGGAATAAGCACTAGACCACAAGGTTGGTTTGAACTGCAAAGTCAGTGGTCAAACTCATTAGCCGCTCCTCAGAAAGCCTGTGCACGGTTGCTCTGAACTGGAAACAACTGGATGGCAAAAACAACAACAGAGAGAACGATAAGGCTTTCTGCTGCCCACAAAGATCGAAAGCCTTGGAAACCCTATACAGGGTCACTGTTGAGTTGAAACTGACTTGATAGCACTTAACAACAACAAAGACCACTTTATATCAGGGGTTGGGAGGCTGATCAAGAAAGGACTCCAAGGAACACATGTTCAGGTTTGGCTACTAACTGAAAGGTTGGAGGCTGGAACTCACCCAGCTGCTCCACAGGAGAAAGACCTGCTGATGCAACTGTGTAAAAATTACAACCTAGCCCTGTGAGGGAAGTTCTACTTTGTCACTGTGGATTGGAATCGCCTCGGTGGCACCCAACAAGACATAATATAATGTTGTCGTTGTTTGTAATGTTGTTGTTGCTGTAGAGGAAATGGTTATAAGTGTTGCCAAGAGTAAAGCAGGGAGACTAGTTAAAGAGCGCTAGCAATAATCCAGGTGGAAGATAATGGTAATTTGGACTAGAGACTAAATGTAAAGATGGACAAAAGTACATGGAATTGAGACTTATTTCTGAGCAAGATTTATAGACCTGCTGATGAAAAAACTGGAGGCAATTATATATTACTTTGTTAGTGGGACAAAAACTTAACATGTGAACTGAGAAATCAATAACCAGTTTCATTTTTTCTAAGCAGCACACAGGAAGGTATCTTATAAAGGTCTGCCAACTCTGTGCTATTTTCATTCTATCTCCAGGGTGCTTTTGAGAAATGATGCCTTCAGGCCAAGAAGAAAAAGATCATGTGATTTCTTTCACAGAATTTTGCCCTCCTACCAAAAATAAATTCTGAACTCCTGCCAACTAGATGAAATTCCAGTCCAGTGCCCTCATTTTTTGATTCAATGTCCAAAGTGCTTGGCACACAACACAAATTCAACAAAATGTGATTTGAACTGAATGAAACAGCCTCCCTTCCTGCTTGCGCACCATAAGCAGTTATTTCAAAAATGCACTGCAACTGCTCTCAACAACAACAAAGTACAGTAAAAACTGGGATGATTTAATATTTACATTTTTGTATGATACTGGTTTGCCCTTTAGTGGGAAAACCCAGTTTTATAAAGATACCAATTCCAAAACTGATTTACATGGGATGCAATTGCAATTGAATCCCAACAGTATTTTTATAAGAAGTCTAAGAAAACTATTTAAAATCTTATCTGGAAAAATAAGCAGATAAGAATGCCTAAGAATATCCTTAAAAAAGAACAGCAGTAAGGAAAGCCTTCTCAGTATATAAAAACCATCATTTAAAAATGCAATACATGTATAACAAGAATAAAGTTATGTTACAGGGCCATGAAATATGAAGATGTAATAAATGATAACAATAACAAAATGGAAGGATAGGCATGGTTTAGATATACAGTTTCTTATATGCTACTGAATTCAAGCTCACCAGCTGCTCCGTGGAAAAGCTATACAGTGTTGCTATGGGTCAGAATCATGGAGGTAGTAACTCTAAATACGATCAGAGAGGGAAGGAGTCTTCACATCAAGTATCAATGCTATCCCCTCTGTACACAGGGCAGATAGGGATGGACACCTTAGACACTGGCTACTTAAAATGAGGGGTCGATAAAGACACAAAGTGACTGGCTTACAAGGTTTCAAGAGGGAGTTTAGTTTAATAGTGGTAGTGGTGGTGGGGGAGAAAGAGTCCCCACTGAATTGTTTTCATCTTTTCTAGATGGGTCTGGTTAAAAGAGATGGGGATAAGATTCTTATGATTCAATAGTGAGTAATTGTTATCATGGCTAATTGTGACT